AAAAAAAAAAAAAAAAGAAAAAGAAAGTGAAAGAGCTTACAAAGGAAGGAATGGAGGAAGGAGAAGGAAGAGAAGAAAAATATTGTCAATAGGTTAGAAGACAGCAACTCACTGGATGTGCTATAACGTTTTCTATTTCCCATTTTATTTAAGAGAAATTTTAAAATCTGGAATGTTTCTCTCTGCTCCCTGTAGACACCACCCCACTGCCTCTGAAGCAGATAACACTATAATGGATTTGATTCCCTCCACTTTTGGCCCCTGAACCTAACCCAAACAAGTAAGACTTTTTTTTTTTGGAGACAGGGTCTCACTATGTAGTTGAGACTGACCTGGAACTCACTATGTAGCCCAGGCTGGTCTCGAACTCACAGTGATCCTCCTGCCACAGCCTCCCAAGTGCTGGGATTACAGGCATGCGACACCACACCCGGCTACAAAGTAGGCTTTTAACACCTCAGACAGAAAGTTCCCTAGTCTGAGAAACTGAAAAAACTTTTCCCTTAGTTTATCCATGGGAGCATAAAAGGAGACACATTTTAACATACTATAACAGAAGCACATATGCTTTGAAATCATAAAGATTCAAGTTCAAATCTTTCCTCATCTCATAGAAGCTATAAATAAATACTGGCCAAGTCATATGACCTGAAGTAAACTATCAGCTTCCTTACCTATAAAACAAGAGCTGCATAAAGTTATGATTAGTAAGATTATAATTCATACACACACATACATACACAAGAGTACCTAGTATGTGCTTGCTGAATGGTAGTTAGTACCTTTTAACATAATCATTACAGTTACCAACAATATGTGTTTACTTTGATACACTATATTTGGCATCTGTTTATAAATTTTCTCACTTAGATTTCTATTTCCAGCAATACAGGAAAAAAAGATAACCTGAAAGTCTCGTTAGAAAAACTAGATAAAATAAAACGAACACCTTATTCTTAGGCAAAGTTGAGAGTTTAGGAAAGAAAAAGAAATCCTCAGGGATCAAAACCTAAGGAGGACACTAAAATTCAGGAAGACTGAATAGTAAGCTGATGTCGAGCTGCTCTGGAAAGGTGTTGGGTCCTGGCAATCAAAAGGGTTGCTTTTTATAGCCACCAAGCATAGAGGACCAGGCTGTAGGTCCTAGAGAGGCCATGGATTGGAACTCAAATCCAACGCATCAATCTGGAACCACAGGGAAGTTGTACTGTCAGTTTAAAACATATAAACTGACGCAAAAGTATAGAGATATGACAGGGAAGCTGAGTTAAAAAATAAAAAGTCTTCCCATGAATTTGAAACCTTGGCCTGTGTGAGGCCTGAATTTATACTATTTGTGTAGAGTTTACAGTACCTGTATGGTCCTGGAACCTACAGAAATTAACTGTAAATACAATTCTAGGCTAATAACACTCCTTGGTGATTAGCAGAAACAACAACAAAATCCCCCTCCTCTAAAGCAGTGCACATTATTTATTTAATTTGCCCAACTATCCTAGGAAATAGATCCCAGTTTATAAAAGATATTAAGTTTAGGGAGTTAAGTAACTTACCCCAAAATTGAGTTAATATATGAAACAGAACTGGGTTTTAAAACTTGGCTTTTCATTCATTTGAGCCATGTTACTAGGCTTTAATATAAGCCAGGCAGAGACTAAATCTGCCCTTTCCAACATATTATGATGCCATTTTTTTTTGCAATTCAATAATTAAAGCCAACTATTTTCTTCTTTCTCAAGCTTAGCAACTCAGTGAAAATGGAGGCAGTGAGGCTCACAGCAAATAGAAAACCAAAACCCCATAGGATTCCCAGAGTTTCTGTCTGCCAAAGCAGCTCAATCTTCTCTGGCAAAGGAACTTAAAATCGTTGGGCACATCCTGAACTGGGAAAGGGAAAAGCAGGAAGAAGTTTCCTGAACTAGTAAGATGTAGGGTACTGCCTCATGATCTCCAGTTACTCGAATAAATTTTATTAGAATAAATATACAATAGAAGTTCAAACAAAAAATATTTACTTTTAAGGTTAAAAATTAAGGACAATGGAGCTGTTGTGAGAAACACAAACATGCACAATTTAAAGGACAAAAGCTACAGTCATATCAGGCTCAACTTCCAATATATTTCAAAATGTTATTTTGGTTGTGTATAATTGAGACAGTACTGATTTTAAAACATAAGCAGCTCGGGCCAGGGATTTAGTTCAGTGGTTCCACCCCAGCCTCACAAGCACAAAGTCCCAAGTTTGATCCCCAGTACCAAAAACAAACAAACAAACAAACAAACAAACAAAACCCATAAGCAGCTAGGGCTAAGGGTGTAGCTCAGGGTGCTTGCCTAGCATGCACAAAGCCCTGGGTTCAATCCCCAGCACACCAAAGACTAAAACCACAACAAAATCATCAGCAGCTGAAAATAAGAGCAATTGTTCTAAAAATTAATATGCATTCTTAGAAGCTTAATACACTGATCAATAAACATGTATGCATGCTTTATAAAAATAGTACTTAAACCAGGCATGGTGATGCATGCCTGTAATCCCAGCACTTGGGAGGCTGAGGCAGGAGGATCACTCTGAGTTCAAGACCAGCCTGGGCTACATAGGGAGTTCCAGGTCAGTCTCAACTATACAGTGAGACCCTGTCTCAAAAAACAAAAAAAAAAGTACTTAATTAAAAAAAAAAAATCAGGTCAAATATTTGAGAATTCTCTGAAATACATTCCTAATGTTCTTGTTGGAAAAAGCTTGGAAGCAACCAGACATTGATTTCTCTCTGCGATCATCCCACTCTCAGTCTGCAGAGGTTAAAAAGCATACATGGTAAACCACACAAGGAGCTGAAGGAGAAATGGGTACTCCACAGCTTCTACTCATTGTCAGTGACTCTTCTGGGATAAAATTCTCCCATCCACCAACTCCAATCCTGCAACCAAGACTGTTAGTCTAGTTTTTGACCCTCCTTTCTCATTTTACTTCTAGATTTTACTTTAGGTAAGCTGAAATATTAAATGTACCCTGTATGCTCAAGAATCTTTCTTTTTTCTTTTGTGATGGGAATAAAACCCAGAGCCTTAGTTCATGCTAACCACATGTTCTACCACTAAGCTGTATGGTCAATGATGATCATACCTCCTGATCCCCATAATTTTTATTTATAGTGTTACCCCAACGTTGATTTGCCATCTTTGTTTGTAAATAATAACTATTATTAACTACTTTGTGCTAGGTATTATACAATCAGTTCCTTGTACTAGCTCGTTATCCTTGCAGTAGCTCTATGAAATAGGGTAATAAATTTGCCCCCATATTATACATGAGAACATCAAGGCTCTACAGTTTAGAAAACTTGCTTAAAGTCAAATAAGGGAAAGAATGCTTGCTAGAAAAGCACTGAGTTCAGAGTTGATATTTTAAGGAATAGGTGAAGCAGTCAGGGAACAATGTCATTCCAGACAGAGGGTCAGCATACACAGAGGCAGAGAAATAATCCCATGTCTGTATTTCCAGCTACTTAGGAAGCTAAGGCAGAAGGATTACAAGTTTGAGACCAGCCTTGGCAACTTAGTGCAACCATCTCAAAATTTTAGTTTTTAAAGGGTTGTGGATATAGCTCAATAGTGAAGCACTTGCCTAGCATGGGCAAGGTCTTACAGGTTAATCCTCAGCACCACTGGAGGAAAAAAAAAAAGAAAGAAAAGAGCTTGGTAAATAGTTCAGGAAAATGACCAGCCTTCAGAATCATTTGACCTGGGTTCAAATACCTTGTTTTGTTTTGTTTTGTGGCTTCTTACTGTAACTCTCATTTTCTTACCTAGAAAATAATGATAATAAGCTAACCCATGTTTAATTTGCTGTAAGATTAAGGAGAAAAAAGGTACATAAAGGCCTGCACAGGCCAGATTCACGATAGGTACTCGGTAGGTATTACTTCACATTTTTCCCACTTGATGACAATTCAATGCTTAGTCAAGAACGTCACTTCTATCACTATCAAACCACAGACATATCTTCTCCAAGTTCCTAAGCTTTACCAAAGCTTTTAAAAACTAAAAGTCATTCATCAAGTTATTTGATAATGTTCTTAACTACTAGTTCTCAAATAAGACCCATTCTCACACCACTCACCCGTGTAAGCCATGTTCTTAGGGTTGCCATAAGGAGCCCCAGGCTGCACGGGGCTGTAAACAGGGTTCATTGTGGAAGACGGAGGATCCTACAGAAAAGAAAAAGAAAACAGCATTGATTACTGATTGATAGTTATCCTTGACATCAGCTTCTTTTTTGTTGGGGAATGGGGCTTGGGGATTGAATCCAGGGCATTTGTACAGACTGCATTCCCAGAAATCACCTGCCTTTAATTCTTTATTTTGATACAAAGTCTCAGTCACTAAATTGCCCAGGATGGGCTTGAATTTTCAATATTCCTGCCTTAGACTCCCAGAATGCTGGGATTACAGGCATGTGTCACCATGATGGCTAGCTTATCCTTTAAAATCTTCAGCTTATACTGAAAGGGAAGCATCACAGTACAGTAAAAAGGTAACTAACAAAATACCTATGCTAGATGCTTTTCCCATTTATCAAATGAAGATATTAGTAGTAGAGAAGTGATACAACCTGCCTAATGTTAACCCAGGCTCTCAGTTCATTGTTAGCCCCACTATCCCACATATAACTCTGTCATTAGTGTAGCATCAGCCGAATCATGTTCCTTCTCAGTCCCGATGTAAAATGAATTAGTAATCTCTGAGGTCTTTTCTAATACTAATGATGCTAGCCCAAGAGCTGGAAAATTAGGGTCTTCATAGTTTGCTATGGGAGCCCCAGAACCTGGTAAGGAGCACAAAGCCCACTGGAAGGAAGAGCAGCAAGTGTCTTACCAGCCCCCTTTACCTGCACAGAGCAAGATACCAACCAATCACTAGGAGCTTTAGAGAAAAAAGGGGGAATTTATTGCCACTGAACGTCATAATGCAAACACCCAGGATCTCTCCAAACTTATTCAAGGCACAGAAGTAAGCTTGGAAATTTGTGTGTAATAAGTTATCACCTGCACAAGAAAGCTGTTAATTATCTTAATGAAGCACATTCTCTATCCTGATTAATGGAAAATCTGTCCTTAAGCTCTATTAGCCAGTCAATTTGTCCCACTTTGTTTAGGGAGCCATTTTTTATACAAAGGCTGATACATGTTTGAAAACGTGTCTCTATATTATTTACACTTCATAAAAATCAAACAATTCCCTCTTAACTACGTTCACACGATAGATGGGCAATTTTTTAGGTCATTAACTTCTTCAGTAGCACCTCAGGATAGGAAACAAATCAGATGTTGAAGGCAAGCAATGAACAGCTGGCTTGATGACAACTGCTCTGCAATTAATTAGTCTGCCCGGGGTGGTTCTGGAATAAGAGGTGGAGAAAGAACTGGTTCCCAAAGAGAGGACGCTAGGGTCATCAAACAGGCAAAAGGGAAAATACTACACTGGTCAATTGGGGACAGGAAAGTGGGTTGCCCATTCACCCCACTTTTCACAATGTTTTACACAGCAAAGCCAGGTGGTGAGGCAGGCACAAAGTGGGACAAAATTATAGGACCCAATGGAAAATTATAAGGTGGGCGTGAGGTGACGCAAAACCATAACCAACCAATAAGATTACAAGTACAGTCAACCAAATAATACTGATTAAATGGGGTCAATGGAGGAGCAAGTCACTTAGCAAGCATACAGGGATTTTTCAGTAAGGGTGGGGGTAAGGAATACTTCCTGGAAAGTATAGGTTAAGACCTAGGCCCATCACCCAGGTGACTGATACCTATTTAGAATATCAGTTACTGTTATTTATCCCTAGGGGAAGCACAAAGGTATGTAGTTTCTCTCCTTTTACAATTCTGGCCTTCAGTGAATGTGTCTTGATTGTCCTCCATTTTGGCTCCCTGAGGGTGGCCCTGTCTAACTGCCTACAAGATATCTAATTAAATTACCTATCTGCAATATTCCCAGCTCTGAAGAAGTACCCCTAACTTCTGTGAGGGGACAAAGAGCAAAGACAGCTCTGGCTACTTCCAGCTGAAGAGAGTAGTAGTTGTGATCAGCAGTTAGAGTTACTCTACAGAGGGGTCTATCAAAAGACCTTCAGTAGGCACTAGGCATTGTAATCTTGGTAGCTGCATAACTTTTAAGTCAAAGATGTAGGATCCTGTAGAAAAGGTTCCCTCATATCCTGGGTTCTTGTTGACCTTGAGGGGTCAGGGCCAAAATATTGGCTGTCCTTGTAGCCCAGTTACCTCTCTAGTTTTGGTCTCCCAACCCTGACAGGTAATATCAGTGGAAGACCTCCAAAATGATACAGGAGGAAGAGATGTATCTCCCAAACCTGCTAGATATCTGAAACACGAATTTGTGTTCTCTAAAATAGAAGAATGAATTCTAGAAACAACGGAGGTTAAGGGTAGGAAAAATTTATTGAGGGAAAGAAAGCTTCTAAGTGAGACAGAAGGGGGAGTGGAAAGTGGGTTGTCTTACCGGTCAATTTTTGAAGCCATCTGCCTGAAATTTACTCAATGTGCAGCCCTGGCAAACCACCTCCAGGGTAAGAGGCTACATAAAAGTACCACCAGTCTACAGGGCCAGGAATTTAGCTCAGTGGTTCCACCACCTGCCTCACAAGTGCAAGGTCCCAAGTTCGATCCTCAGTACAAAAAAAAAAAAAAGTACCACCAGTCTACAAATGAAAGTTAAAGAAAGCACATGTATTACTGTTCAATTTGGGAAAAATAATCCATAACCAGAGTTGAGAATTAAGAGGGATCACAGATGTTAAAATAAGTGGCAAAACTGTAAAGTGATGTACAGGTATCAGCAATGATTCTGTGACAGTAGCGATGATGTGAGGACAACAACACATTATTTATACACTTTAACCACTTTGGATAGTCTCTTCTATCCAACTAGCCCTCTACCTAATACACCAGTGTGAGCAAGAATATTAAAGCAATGCTGTGGTTTGGATCATCCACTAAGAAGGCATGGTCAAAAACTTAATTGCCACTGTTAACAGAATTAAGAGATGGGACATTTAAGAGATGATTAGGCTGTGAAGGACCTGCTCTCATGAATGGATTAATGCAGTTCTCTGCAAGTTTGCTCCTTATAAAAGAACATGTTTGGCCCCCTTCTGCTCTGTCTTAGTCTTTGGAGGGGGTACCGGGGATCAAACTTGGGCCCTTTGTGCTTGCAAGGCAGGCAGCAGAACCACTGAGCCAAATCTCTGGCCCTCTCTTAGCCTCTTTTTGCCCTTCGGCTCTTCCACCACTGGATGATGCAACAAGAAGGCCTTTGCCAATTGTGGCACAATGATAATGAACTTCCCAGCCTCTAAAACTGCACAAATACATTTTTCTTCATTGCAAACTACAGAGTCTATGGTGTTCTGTTACAGTAGCACAAACTAAGACAAGTGAGATATATATGATTTCAGCTGAGATTCATATGAACTGTTGAAAAAAAGCATAATAATTATAAAAATGTACCAAGCCGCACATTTCCTGCATCTTCATCTTTTTCTAGATGGAGTTTCTAGAGCATCCCTGTCCACCAGAACTTTCTATAATGATAAAAGTATTTTATATTAGCTGGGATATAGTTCAATGATAAGACTAGAAGGACCTAGGTTTGATCCCCAGCACTGTCAAAAAAAAAAAAAAAAAAAAAAAA